TGCTATTCTTTCAGGCTGGCTCATCACCAAGTAGCCTGGGAGGCTCCTCTGACCTTGTTTCAGTTTGTTCACCTTCATGGACTTTACATCCCAATTAATGCTGCTGTATGGACTCCACATACTGTCTCCCATCTTTATGAATTCACACAAACCGATATGTGAGCCACAATCCATCTTGCTGTTCCCATCTCTTTGTCCCATTCGTTCTTAACCTTCAGGACCTGTCACCAGTAAGGCATGGCGGCAGAGAATGGGAGTGGGAGTCGCGCCCTTCCCAGAAGCCATAGCGCGCAGGAACAGTGCTCAGAGCACCTCCTCCTTTTCTTATACAGGGACATTAATCTATTTAAATTTAAATTTAAATGAAGCAGGTTGTATTGACATTAAGTTTATAATAGGTAATCAGGAAAAAAGAAAATAGGAAGAAGGCTACAAGAATAAATGAGCACTGGGAAGGAGGTTTGGTTTATTCTGCTCATCTGAAGTCAGAGGCCACTATTAAATCAACTTTGAAAGTCAGGGGCACATGCCCTGAGTTTCTTCATTGAGGTCATAACCCCTGGAATGTGTATCCTCATGTAATGGAGTAATATCTAATAGTCAGTAGGCAGATATTGGGAGCTTATGGCTTTTTTTTTTCTGCCATGGTTTGCCTTGTTGACACTGCCCTACATTGAATTCTGATTCTGCCTCCCCTAGGATACAAAAATATAAGTAATGACTGTATCTCCCCTCCCCCTTCCCAGTTTGAGGGTTTTGCCCCAATTCATGTTTTCCTCAAAGGGCTAGACATTATGATTTCTGGGGTGCTCAGAGCCTCCCCTGCAAGGAACTCCTGCAAAAGAAGGGAGCAGAGAAGTTTAATTCCTGAGGCCAGAACTTCTTTACTAATTTAGCCTTTGAAATCACTTAAGAGTCCAGAGAAACTAAGAGGAATTTGTGAGTTCAGTCTTAGCATGTGCTTGTGCCCATGGTATGTATATGTGTATACGTGTGTGGAATAGACAGCTTTCTTCATGATATGGCTTTATCTGAGGGAGACTGAAGTCTCTCTCCTTCCCCTCTTCCCAGATACATATCTTTCCTGCTAGTCTGCCGTAGCCCATGAAATGCTGACCATTAGTCATTTCTTTGGGTCCGAAAGACCTCTGTTAAAATGCCAACATGTTTATATTTTTAAAAATATGTACATTTATATGTATTTAAAAGGAATAGCAAGTTGTACGTGATAGATTTGCAATTTCATGTGTAATTATCTTTTTTATTATATTATGCAAATGAAAATGCTTGTTTTACTCCATAACTTAAAAATAAAATAAATAAAAAATGCAGATGTGTTCTGGGGGAGGTATTGCACATTGAAGTAACATATGGCTGAGGCTTTCCAATTACCTAGTTATCATCTTAGAAAGGGAGCATGACACAAGGCAGCTATATGTCGGTGGAATAAGTCTGGAGCACAGGGTGCTGCCTGAGCACTATAAAAGAGGGAGAGGGTCGCTGACGACCGGGCCAGCAGGTGGTTAGAGGAACAAACAGGGAGGTGAAAGTGAGATGCCCCTAATGAATACCTGGGTCAGGCTGGCCGAGTTCCAGCTGAACACCTGGGCACAGCTTCTGCAAATGAGTTCCCTAGAACAGTCAGTTAATCATCAACTCAGCAGAGCACTCACTATTCTAGGTTATAGGGAGATAAAGATACAGTTGCTGCCTTTGAGGAGAAAATTCCTGTGTTTTTGAGGATATGTGCTCCTATTTCTCTGACAGCAGCAGTGGCAGCGGCGGCGGCAATAATAACCGACCTTTGGAAAAGGTAGGTGGAGCAGCAGATAGAGCGTCTGCTCTGGAATCAGGAGGACCTGAGTTCAAATTCCACCTCAGCCGCTTACTAACTGTGTGACCTTGAGCAAGTCACTTAACTCTAATTGCCTCCAACAAACAAAACAAAAAAGTAATGACTGACCTTCAACTTCACTGCCTTCCAGGTTCTAAGAAACTTTAAGCTCTATTATTCAGTTAGTGACACTTGAACTCTGATGTACTATGTTGCCAAAGTTGTTCTTTGAGCAAGCACAGCGTTTGACAAACATGCCCAGCAAACTTCAAACTGCTTCCCATCAGTACTTCAAGTACCCCCTTCCCCCTACGTTCCTTGGCCTTATATGCTCCCTTTTCCTCTGCCCCAGACTTGCCCTGTTCTCCCCATTTAGCTGGGGTTTCTGGTGCCACATGCAGGAGTCACATCTGTAAGCTGCCTCTTTTGCTATTGCTGGAAACCTGGGGCTTTGGGTTTAGTCTCTGGCCAGACTGCTCCTGATGCCTGACTATGTGAAGTGTCAGCATTAAATAATCTTTCCTCTTGGCCTCCACTGTCCAATTCCCCTTGCCTGTGTAAGACTGTTTCTTGGTATTCCTGGACAGGAGCTACAGGCAAAAGTTTGAAATAGGTTTGTTTTTGGATGCTTCTCATCTCCTTTTCCACAGCCTTTGTCCCATCTTGGACCCTTGCCATTCATCCCCTTAAGTTCCTATCTTCAATTAAATTCAATTCAACAAATATTTATTAAATATCTGCTATGTTCCCAGCACCATGACAGGTATTGAGGCTACAACGACAGAAATGGCATTCCTGTCTTCAAGAAGCTTACATTCTATAGGAGAGATATTAGGAGGCTATAGATGAGTATGAGAAAGGTAAGGAAAGGAGGGAGTGAAGGGGCCAAAGGAGCTGTCCAACCAGCCAGCCTGCTAGTGAATAAGCATTTATTAAATCCTACTGTGTGCCAGGCCTATTATGTGCTCTAGGAATATTTGAAGGAGAGAGTACTAATAGAGCTGGGAGGGGAGCAAGAATTAGGGAAGGCTTCATGGAGGACATAGTACGAGCTGAACATTGATGAAACATAAGGAATCTATATGTATGTATACACACACACACACACACACACACATAAGAATATATAAGAAATCTAAGAAGAAATGAGGAAAAGGTATAATGCATAGATTGAAGGCAGGAGACCAAAGGTTCACAGAATTTCAGAGGTTATCTACTCCAACCTGAATCTGAATGAGAAGTCCTCTCTAAAATATACCCAACAAATACAGCCTCTATTTGAATACCTCCAGCTCAAATTCTGGGGGATAGCGGCTTGGGTTGGAAGGTAGAGTGCCTAAAAGAGAATGTCTTTGTATCTTGTGCCTGTACTCCAGGCCTTGTTCTGCTGCTATTTTCATGTCTTTTCTGTGCCTGGAAAGGTATAATTCGATAGTAAATGCTAATGAGTGCTTATAGACTGAGTTATAGACTTATAAAATGCCTCTCCAGGGATATTTTCATTTTACAAGGGGATTCTTAGAGACTCAAAAGCCTTCCCAAAGATCCAGAGAAGAGATTCTCTAATGGTGGAATTTCTGGACCTTTGACAGGCTTACAGAGGAATGTTTTTAGAGGGTGCCCTTTAAATTATAACACAAAAGTCGAGATCCTTGCAGCTGATGTTTTCCTTCATCACTAACTGCTGGTGTGCCTACAGATGAAGCTGACTGAAGCCCTTCTCTCTGAATATCCCAGGTCAGTGGGGTGAACCTAGGCCTGGTCTTCATAGGCCTCCCCCGGACCTATGATTTTTTTGGTGTGGGAAACTCCTCTTTCAATTCAGATCACCCATTCTGCCACTTAGAAAGATTCCCAGGGGCACTGAGAGGTTAGGTGACTGGCCAGGAACATCCATTTATTGTGTGTTAGAAGCAGACTAGACCCTGGTCTTTAAACTCTCTGTTTATTTATATCAGACTGCCTCTCAATCTACAAGTTATACTGGAAAACTGATGTCTCTACATCCTGGGCATTCCTGGATCATCCTACCCTGAATGGCAACAGGCACATGGTTGAGATTCAAAGAACACGGTTAAATCCACAGTTGTGACCAAATTTGGTGTCTTCAGGCATCATTTTAATAGGGCCTTAGGGCAGGTACAGACCTATGGGTGTGCAATCACTCCTTGGGTGGTTTGGTTGAGGGCTAGAGGAAGGATGACCCAGAGTGGAAGAGCCCAGGAAATCCTATCCCAAACACAAAGCAAATCTTGTTGCAGAGAGAAGGTCTGTTCTGTCTGCCAGCAAAGGAGTGCATTTTACTCGCAGGATAAGGACCAGGGAGACACAGTAACAGAGAAACCCCAGACATAGTGCTTGAAAAGGAATCTTCTTCTGTTCCCCTGGAACTATCACGTGGGTACCTTCCTTTCTATAGGTAAGAGAACCATGGCTGGACCTTGAAACACAAAGACTCTGATTGTTGAATGAAGTTTTGCTGTCTGAGGGGATAAATGTTACCACCACCAGAAAGCTTGGGCATTTATGGTACAAAAATCTTTGCTGATGTAGGTACCCTCTTATCAATCCATATATTCAGTGGGGGTGGTGTCAGAACATATCCCAGGGACAACTGGAGTACATATCTAGGAAGATTTGCTGGCTTCTGCAGAAATCTTCACCTTTCACAACAGATGGAAATCAGCTGTTTCTGCCAAAGAGAGCCATATTTCAGACTTCATTCATGCAGAATTTCAAGCTAAAACAATTTTTTTTTCTTTTCTCTAAGTCCAGTTGGGTAAATGGGGATAAGCTTTGGGTAGTCAAAATAGGATTTGGGGTTGAGAGCTAGCTGACAGAGAGAGAGACTCTTTCATCTAACTCACTGTTAAAATTAAAAATTTTTAAATTAAATTAAAATTCACTTCAAGTACAGATCATTATTCTAATTAGCAGTAATGACTTTCTGCTTTCTTTTGTGGATGGGGAGGAAGTCAACTGATAGTACTATCAAGGAGTGGGAGAAGAATTAGAAACTATTATCCAGAGAAAAATGTATCTAACTTGTAAGAAAAATTCCTGTAAAACATTGGGTCTCACTAAGCCCCCTCATAAATACCTGAGCTGTTTCTTCATTTCATACATGAGAGAAAAAAATCAGGGTTTGACTGCAAAGACTTTTTTTTTTAATTTTTATTGAACACAAGTATTCTGACAGAATGCAAAGTCAAAATTCTCAGTTAGTACTCAGTATTTACACCAGTGAGAATGGAAATAAAGGTGGTGTCAATGTTTCACTTGGTAAAAAGTTTTATAACAAGAGAGAAGGCCCCAAAGTAGGGAATGCTGGGTAGGGATGTTAATGGAGTTCTGAAAACGACTATCCAAACAGCCTAGGGCGAAAACCTGGGATCTGGAAGGCTCCATAGAAAAGTGTGAAAATATAGTTCCACTTTGCAAGCTGCACACTCCAATACACCATGGTCCTTTCTGGATTTGTGTGGCCTGGGGTGTTGAGTGATTGCTCCACTGGTAGCATTTGACCACTGATGAGTGTTTATGTAAATACGTATGCATACACATACACATGTATAAACACACACATTGAAAAATGGATAAAGTTGGTCCCTCCTTCAAAGGATTAAGAAAAATTAAGACTAAGTTCATCCATTTAAAAAAAAATGGATAGCGTGGAAGTAAAGTAACTCCCTCTGACTTTAGAAGAATTAAAAAGGAACAGGAAAACAAAAACAAAAAAAGAAACTTTGAGAGGTGAGACATACTTATGTGTAACGGGAGAAGTAGATAATGACTGCTGTCATTTATGGGGCTGATGATAGGTAGATTCAGGGCCCCTGGTACCTCAGTTCTCCTGTATCAGAGGTCATTCTGAAAGCCAGCTGAGTGCTAAATATGCCTCCACCTGTTCCTAGCCATCAGAATGTGACTTCCACTTGCTCACTTTAATTAATAATCACCCTTTGAGGTATAGAATGGTGTTGGTCAAGTGGGCTAAAGCCTCAGCATCATAAGATGAGGGAATTGGTTCCCCTGGACAATTCTGATGTTGCAACATATTCCTCTGTGATCTCAGGGCAGGTCTGGGTCCTTCCTTCTTGACTCATAAGCCCTACTCTCTCAATCTGCTGGACATCTTATGCCTCTTTTACTACTGTTATTGTTTTCTGAAGGCCAGTGTATTTAAAATGTATATTTATGCAAGCCCTAGTGACAGGAACAGGCCAGGGTTGTGCATACAGGGGCCTCCATTTCCATCCCCAGGAGCTGAAAAAATGCAAAAAAATCCCACAACCCAACTGAAAAAAATAAAGAGCACCCCACATTTAGCAAATGATGAGAGCATTGTTTTTCACAGTTTGAAATCATAATCTAGCATTGCCACTGTTTAGACTACAGAATTGTATGTATACTGGAGAGTGTGGCTTTAATGGAACAGGCTCAGATGACAGTCTCACCACCCTAACCTCTTCCCTTATCATACCTTAGGAAAGGAATGCATGCCGGAGTATTGGTTTTTGTTTACTTATAATCACCATCATCATTATTATTTAATTTTCTTTGTTTAAAGGCTTCTGTTCCTTTTAAGAGTTATTTTATTTCCTGAATAATTTTCTGAACTATCTTCTACACCTTCCACAACCAAACTATGTTGAAGTTTTATTTCAATACTATGACAAAAACACGTTTCACACTAAAATATTCACGCATCCACAGTGCACAAGCTTGCAGTTCTAAAGTAGAATGAGAAAAAAAAAAAAGAAAAATTTCTATACAAAGGGCTGGTCTTACCCTTCTCCCCTCCCACCCCCTTTTAAAGTTCCTGTATGTCCCCCCCACTCAGTTCCTAATCCAGGAGAGTTGTATTATGAATCAAGACAGCAGATCTCACAGGTGCTGTCCAAGTGAACAGAAGGCCAATGTTGCTTTACTTCGACAGATTTCCAAAAAAAAGACAACAATTCCCTGAAGCACACATGCTCTTCCGCTCAAATCTAGATTTATGGGCTGAAAAGTAATTGTTTGCATATACCTTTTCATTTGGCTTTCTAAAAAAAAGGGGGGATGGTTGGGGTTAAAATGTGTTTGCCAAGACCAGCCCCAACTGTACAATCTCCGCCTCACTTAGCAAAACCTAGGGAGAGTCATCCAAGGAAAGGGCCAGAATGCCTGGAAAAGCAGTGTCTGTTTCTTGGATGTAGCTAGTGAGTAATCAGCAAGCAGCTTGGCCCCCCCAAAACCAAAAGCAAAGAGCCAGAGAAAATCTTGTTTGTACCCAGGTTAGCCAAAGGTAGAGAAAGAAAACAGAAGAAGTGGGGAACAGTTACTGTCTACATTCAGATTTTGAAAAGTCTCCCTGTGTCAAGCAAGTGTGCGAAGAACTTACTACCTCTAGACTGTATCCATTATGTTTAAAAAAAAAAGGTAGCTTTTTATGTGGACATTGAAACGCAAATCAAAATAAAACATTTCTTGATTTGTAAACACTGGAAAATAATGTTGGCAGAAAAAAAAAAGAAAAAAAGAAAGAAAAGAAAAGAAGTCTGAATACTGCAAATTGAAATCTACCCCCCAGAAGCTGCAATTTGGCATCCTTCCTACAAAACGAGTCTACGTGGGAACTGAATTCAGCTAGAAAGGGTGACACACTTTGCATACTGAACAAATACAAAGTGAACAGAAATTATAACTTATTTATGAGGCTTTACATAGTTCAAACTCGACTGAAAAGTATAAAAATAAATTGTGGACTTTGTTCATTCGGTTAGTCATCGTGCCTGAAGAAAGTACTTCTCTGAAGCTGCTCGGGTGCTAAATCCGAGAAAGCAAAGTATTGTCTTCCTAAACCTAGATTTGTTCTGAGCTTCCTAGATTCTTAACTCGGTGGGGTTTTTTGTCGTCTGTTGGATTGTTTTTGTTAATGATTTCAGGGAACGGAGTGTCCTAGTTTGGCTGTGGGTTCAACCTTTTTTTTTCTTTTTCTTTTAAATTTCCTTACAAGTGAATGCACAACAAAGGGATCCTTTTAACAAACCTACAAAAAGGAGATCCCAATTTGTTTACTTATTTGTCTGATTTTTTGATTTTTTTTAAAGGCAAAAGACACTAGAGGAATGAGATATGTGTGAGTGTGAGTGTGAGCGTGTGTGTGTGTGTGTGTGTGTGTGCGCGTGCACATGCACGCGAGTGTGATGCTAGAAATGTTCCGGGGAAGTGGTTCTGTCACTTTTTAATGTGATGTTTGCTTTTTAATTTCCCGTCACTGATCACGCTTTGCTCTCATTTCCGTTTGTTTGTGTGGCTTCGTTGGGGACCGTCTTGACTTCTGCTGGAGCTGGCTGGGTTTCTGTCTCCTGGGGTGCGGACTTTCCTTCTACTGGGGCTTTCCTGCAGAATGTTAAGAAAACAGAAGCAGTCAGTGGATGCTCAGGCAGCCCCCTTTCCCATTAGTAGGCAGCCAGGTCTCCCTAGGAAGTTCCAATTTGAGGACCAGCCCCTGTCCTGTTGAGGCTCTTAAGCTTAATGCCAAGGGTTCTTTCATCAGAAGGGATAGGCTAAAAAGGGGGGAAAATGCAGCCCATTTCTTAGACTGTTTATGTGGTCCCAAACAGCTGCCAACCCTGTGCCTTAGGGCTGGTGATGGTGCAATAATTCCTGGCCCTGAACCCATAGGTAGGAAGGAAGGGCTGAGTAATCAAAATGAAGACTCCTGCAGACTGACTTGAGGACACTGTGTTTGCCAGGAATCCTAGCACAGTTAACAATGCTGTGATGACCTTCCCACCCTTGGGAAAATACCCCTGTATCTCTGGGTAAGGACTGTTTGAGGGCTTTCCTGGGCCACCTGGCACCTGTGGTGCTGCTGTGTGTTCCTGGGAGGGCCTCATCAAAGGTCCTGGTTTGGCACGAGTGCACAGGGCCATTTGGTTCCTGTACACTAAGACGCTAAGCTCTTATGAACTGGTTTGCAGGGCTCACAGCTGCAGCCTGTGTTCACAACACTCGCTGCTCACCATAGGGACCTCTCCAAGGGCTAAGGCGGGGGGAATGAAAGTTCCCATGCTCCCCATCTCCAGGGCAAAGAAGATATACAAAGCATGAAGTTTGCAGACCTCAGGAGATCTCACAGGCACAAGAAGCAGAAGGGAGAGGCTTAAACATATTCCTGGGGCAAGATTCCACCACGGCCTAAGCTTGACCAACTATCCAGCACTTAAGCTGCATGTGGGGAAGAAAGCTCTCCCTGGCACACAATAGTACCACTGCAGCATCACAGTTACCTAACATTCTGTCCCACCCCCAAAGAACCAGGCATGGGAGGAAGAGCTCAGCCTGACAGTGATGAGATTAGGCTCTTGGGGGAAAAATGGAGATATCTGAATCTCTCTTTCTTGGCCTTTTTCCTTTCATAAGTGTGGCTTCTGGTCAGTTACCCAGGAGATGATAACCTCTTGTTGCCTGCTAGAGCCATGGGTGACCTGTTGGAGCACCTCATTCTGCTTCCCCAGAAGGCAGAAAAGAATTTGGAAACTTCTTGCTAGGATATCCCTTCCCCATCCAGGAAAAAGAGAAGCTACTTCCAAATAAAACATGATCAATGTGGCCTAATCAGTGATCAAGTGGCTGCCTTCCGGGGCCTCCCCATCTTTTCTCCAAACCCTTTGCCTCAGTCCGCTCTCTACGAGCTAGCTGACTGTTTCCTTCTCCCCTCCTCCCATAATGGACCGAGAAAATGCCAAGGTTAGTGGGAAGGCACATCTAACAGGAGGACACAGTACAGCACCGACGCACAACACCACAGGATATAATCGACAGCAGATTAAGAGAGGCCATACTCGGTCTTTGTTGGTGCAGGCGACACAGAGCTGTCTGCAGGGGAAGAAGCAAGCTCTGGGGCTTGCCCGCTCGCTGCGGGGGCGGGAGGAGCAGAACCCAGGGCTGCAAAGACATCCTTTGCAAGGTCAATCTCTGGGGTCTTGAAGGTCCCTTCGTCCATTTTAAAGTCCTCGCCCTGGGCGGGTTTTGCAGTGCTGACGGGGGCAGCTTCACTCTTCGGGCTAGTGAGGGTCGTGGCTGCCTCTGTCGGGCTCTTCACCGTGCTGGGCGGAGTGGGCTCCTGGTCTGGGCCTTTGGTGGCGGCTGGCTCCTGTTTGGCCTCGGAGGGCTCTGAAACAGCAGCCAGGGGACTAGTGGAATTGGTAGGGGTTGGAGCGGGGACTGCCTTATTCCCAGGTGGAGTCTTGGAGGCCTCTACCACATTGGTGGGGGCACTGGGGCTGAGGACAGCCCCCTGGGTGGCCAGAACACTAGAAGACAAATTGCTAGCTGCAGGAGTTGAGGTCGGGGTATCACTCAGGTCAACAAGGGGGGCAACTTTGGGGGCTGATGCAGGTGGTGGGGAGGAGGCAGACACTCCCGGGCCCTTAGAGGGAGTGGCCTGGCCAGCTGGCACTGAATTTGAATCCGGAATGGCTGTGGCCGGAGGGGCAATGCTAGAAGTCAGGGTTGTGGTCTCACTGGTGGGGCTGTTCTGAGCAGTGGCAAAAGTTTCGGTGATAGTGTCAGAGTTAGTGGTGATGGTGGTGACAGAAGGCAGCATGTCCTCAACAGTGGCTGTGGTGTCAGCTGGCAGCCTGTGGGGAGGACAGGAAGTAGAAGAGAATAGACAATGAAGCTGAGACATGACAGAAGAGCAGGCAGAGCAGAGCAGAGCCAAAGCCGAGGAGAGAGGGACATGAGTGGTAGGGCATGCTGTTATACACGCACACGCACACACACGCACACGGAAACAAGGAGAGCTGAGAGAGAGAGGAAGCACACCCCCAGGAGGGCGGGAGAGAAACAAGGAAGAGACGACAGGTGGCCGGAGAAAACGGGACCTACTTTTCCCCCACTAGGAGGAGAGGTAGTATTTCTTCTGCTCTGCCTTTCATCTCATCCTGCCGGCTCCCACTCCAGTAGACTAGGCTGGCTCCTGCTACTTTCTACATCAGGGTTTGGCTCATGGGGTGTCTGGGTTTTTCTTGATCTGCTTAGCTCTAAGAATGCTCCTCAAGTTACTAGCCAAGGCAGGCCCTGGAAGCTAGGTTTACCAGAGTGAGTAGGGGTCTGGCTGAGAACAGGGGAGGGGAAGACAGGGAGGAGGTAGCACAGCAGCACATCAGATACCTCTACTTATTGATTAGAAAAAACAAATCAGACACAGTCAGGTGTTGGAATCAAAGTAAACCAGGAAAACCCCTAACTGGCCCATGGCACCGACAGTTTTACAGCCCTGGAAACCAAATTCCATTTAGCCTCATGGCATCCCACACACCCACCAGGCAGCCACATGTATTAGCGTCTTGAGCGTTCCTTCCTGGAGGCTGTAATGGGGTCTCCAACTGTCTCAGTCCAGAAAAGCAGAAGAAATTTCCTCCAAGATTCAAATCAAGTGCTACCTTTGTCAGAAATGCCTTCCCATACCAAATTACCTTGTATTCATTTCAAATATGCTTGTTTATTCATGTGTTGTCTCCACCAATAGAATGTAAGTTCTTTGAATTCTCTCTTTTTTTTTTTTGAGAGCATTGACAAGGGTTTAACAGATCATTTCAAGCTACATTGTTAATTTGGACTCCTGAGTCAGACAGGCAGCTCTTGAGAAATCTAAATTATTAGTATATTCATTACACATATCATATTGATTAATGTGAAAATTGTAATGCCCTTCATACCTTTGTGCCCCTTTATCTCCTCTGACATTACCATCAGAAGGCAGGAATTATTTCACTTTTGCCTTTGTATCTCCAGGCTCAATGAATGTTTGATTGATTGGTGTAGCATTGGAGGGGTGCCTCAGATTCCTCATTGGGCAGCTGCTGGCAAACCAGCTCTCTCTACCCATCCAGAGCAACCCGCAGCTGACCTGAATTAACCTTCTCACACTTTCCTCTCTAAGGAGATTCAGGGGGTCACATTTAACATATTTAGGTAGGTGGTTTCTCAACCAAACTGCTCTTGAAGTTAAAAGTGTTTAACTTCCATCCTACTGAGAATTGCTGTTTTTAGTGTGCCTAGGAGTTGTCGTGGCAGATGGGTGAAGAGCAGGAAATCAGGAAGATTTTGGTCCTGTATTGGAACTCCAGACCCCACCCATGTTCCCCAGGTGCCCAGCCCACATACTCTGGCTCTGTCAGTGGTGTGGTCTCATTTGGCTCTGTGTGTTTCCCTCCATCATGGTTTGGGGTCCGCTCCTCTTCTGTCCGCACCTCTACTATGGGCTCCTTGGACTCATCCTTCCTGTAGAGAGAGATTGCCTGCTAGATCCCAAGGCACCCAGCATTTAGGGCTGGGTGAGAGGATTTTGATCCAGAGACTTGTTAGAGCTAGGGGGAACTGAGTTTCTCTCCTAGCTAGCTGAATTAGGTAATGATATTCTGAAAATGGGCTAGTGGGATCCCAATTTCCCTCTTTCTTTGCCCCTAGTCTAATCCAATGTATCTTTCTAACTTTGTGGGTGGACGGGCGGCATGGAGTTTCTGCTGACTGAAAAAGAGATTCTGTCTCTCCAGACCTTAGAGACAGGTGCTCCCTAGCCATGACTGATAAAGGCTATTCTCTCTTTCATCTTGGTTTCTCTACAATCTTTTCTCCTTATGCCTCTTCCTCAGAGTAGGGTAGTCTCTTCCATGTACTAGCTGTATGACCTTAGGCATACTTAACTTCTCTGGGGCTCAGTTTCCTCATCTGATAAATGGGGAAGGTCATTTCCATTTTAATGTTCCAAGACGGATCTGGAACAGGCCTTATTCACTCCACTTTCCAAAGAGGAAAATCTGAGGCTAGGAGAGGGTACATGACCTGTTCTCAGCTAAAGGAAAGCCCTTGTTAAGCCAGAGCCCTCTGGCAAGGTGGGTGTGGGTACTTACGAGAATGCAGCTTTGCCTTCCTCCATGTCTTTTCCTTTGGCTCCTGGGCCAGCTTTTCCACACAGGTTGACAGCAATGCACATAAGCAAGCCACACTTGTTCAGGAAGTAGCAGGTGATGTCCACAGCCACCAAGAGGAGGACAAAGATGACAATGAGGATGCCCACAATGGCACCGGTGCCCAGGCTGGTGGTGGGGCTGCCATTGGCTTGAGAGACCAATTGAGAGGTGGAAAAAGAAAAAAAAAATGGCTGATGGTTAATGGATGGTGAAAGCCAGAAGCCCCCCAACCCTGAAAATTAGTCCTGGTAGGGTCCATGTGACACATACAGGATACCAACTTTCAATGGTACCTTTGTCCTCTATTAGGTATTAGGTAGACATTATGACCTCCTTCTTATCATGTGTTAGGGAGGTCAGAATGGCATGACCTTATTTCACAAGGGCAAGGCTCAGATTCAGTGGGACCTAGCTATTTGGGAGTAGAGCTGAGATCAAAAGCCATATCTCCTGATTTGTTCTGTTTCCACCAACCAATTTTACTCAGCTTATTCCACTGTTAACTGTGGTTAAGACTGTTCTATCAATAACCCCTCAGACAGAGCCCTTACTCTACCACAGTTCAGTAGCCTTAGACTGGACTGTGTGACTGGGGGTGTAACGTTGAGCCTGTTGACTTAATCTCCGAGGCATCTGCTTGCTCACCCTGTGGGAACAGAGAGTGGACAAGGTGGAATCTGCTGAGCGCTACACAGTGCATTTCTTTGACTTCTTCCTGTGGGTACCGTTCAACACCTCGGGTATAACTAGGTCCCACAATAAGTTGTCCTTCTCCTGTTTAGGAAGAGCCCGTAGGATTTAGTAGCAGTAGCTTCTCCAGACCCTATGGTTTCCAAGGTTCCAAGGCTCTGAAGGTTTGAGGGGACAGGGGAGAGGCAGTGAGGGTTCTGTGAATACTCACCATTTGTGAACTCAGGCTTGGCTTGGCTCAGATTCCAGTGAAAGTGAATATGCTCACACACAGATGGAAGCACATGCTCCCATCAGGCAAAATACACATGCCTCAGTGGATGAACCCTCACTCACACACCTCATTCATTCCCAGGCACTCCTAGATTTGGCTAGGCTTGCCTCCAATGAGTCTGCTTCCCAAAGGCCTTTCACACTACTTGCCATTCATCCCTCTCCTCATCTTTGTAATCCCTTAAAAGCACAGATCAAATCCTATCTCCTACAGTCTGTCTTTTATCGCCCTGCTTGTTATCTCTTTAAATTACTTTGTATTATTCTTCATTTTATTTTTGATTAGACCCATTCACTTCATCAGTGTAGGTAGCACCTAGGGAGCCCTTTCTCTTCCCAAGCAGACTGATATCTGCTCTGCAATGTGTAGTATTAGGGAGGTGCCTGGAGTCCTTGAAGGTGGAGGGACTTGCCCAGGGAGGGTCACACAGTCAGCGTCAGAGGCACAAATATGTATGTGTGTGTGTGTGTGTGTGTATATATATATATATATATATATATATATATATATATATATATATATATATATATATATATATAGCGCACATATATACACACACACATACATATACACATATATACATACATATACACATACATACATATACATACATATATACATACATACATATATACACACACACGTATGTGTGTATGTGTTTTATATTTGCTTATCTTTGCACATGTAGAAAGAAAAACTCCAATAGAAAGAAAACTTTCAGGATTAGGACTTTTGTTTTTGCTTTTGTGCCCCCTATACCTAGCCAGATACTTCTTTGCATATATTAAGTGCTTAATGAATGTTTGGTGCATTGAATTCTAAACTCCTCAGGGCTTTGGTATCATACGTGTCATCAGAGAAATCCCCATCATTTACCTCTGAGGTCTTCTCTCTCCTGACTTCCTCACACTCTTCATTTTGACAATGTCAATATTTCGGTGCCTGGGAAAGCCTTGCCATCATGCCCAATTTCAACCTGACCTATTTGGGGAATGAGTCAATCAAGGAAGGAATAAAGACCATATAAGTTGACTCTGAATAAATGGTGATGGGTAGAAAAAGACAATGGAATTCAGAGAAGTAGAAAATACTTTCTAAGGAGGAAATTTTTTTTTTCTGGAAAAATTGTGGCTACAAACTTGCCTTCCTTGTCCCTACTGATCCATAGCTTCAAAGAATATGAGAGTTGGAAGTTTACTTGGAGTATATCCATTCAACCTGGTGTCTGAAGGAATCCATCCCCTCTATAACACCTATCCTTTATGTGAAGATTTCCAATGGTGGGGAACCCACTACTTCCCAAGTCACTTCATTTCATTTTTGGACAGCTCTAATCATAATTCCTGATATTAAATTGAAATCTGCCTCTCTCTGCCATTATTTATTTCTTCCCACAGGGCCAAGCAGAACACATTTTAAAAATCCTCTTCCATTTGATATACCTTCACATATCTGAAGAAACCTGCCCAGGTCAAGCCTGCTCCTTGGAAGGTGAGAGCGAGGCAGGGGCCAGGTCAGGAACTTCCTAGCAGCTGCAAATATTGCCATGGCCCTGCCTCAATCAACATTCCCAGCCCATTATACCTCTTCACACCTGTGCCAATATGCCCAGCGGTATTCCAGCCATCCATCACATAGGATAATGAAATGAACACATAGCCCATGGTACTTGGCACCAGAGGTGGGGGCATATATCTTCCCCTTTTAATGTGGTCAGAGGTCCTGTGGGGACTATTCAGTTCACAGCAGACTCCTCCACTCTGACTCTATAAGTGGTTTATCTGTGGACAGTCACATTACTTTCTCTCAGCTCAAAAATTTAACTTGTATATGAGCCACAAGCTCATTTCCCTAGAAATATGTCTCAGGGATATTGGCAAGAAACCCAACAGGACCTCCAGACACAACCTGCTTCTTAACCTCATAGCTGTAGGCAAATGTGTGTGGTCTTTGGAAATACATCCAGTGTGGCTGGGCTTTTTGCTGGGCATAACAGTGAAACCTGCCTTTCTCTTTACTTCCAGATGTTTCTTCTCTTCCCCTGAGTTTTCTCTATTTACCCAGTTCTTAAGACACCTCCCTCCCCACTACACACACTCCCACTCTTTCCCCTTACATGCCAGAGAAAGACTAGTTAAAGACCTTTCAGAGGCCTTCAGGGCCAAGAGTACAACTGTTGACACTCCTTATGACTCCTGCTACAGATAAGAGGGCATTCCTGGCTTTTTATCCTCTTTAACACCTATTACTGAAGATGCTTTTTAAGTAGTGTTAAGAATATTTGCAATTATTTCTTCTATGCCTTTATTTCCCATTTATTCTCAACTCCATTTTGAACCTGAATAAGAGAATGAAGTTGTGTAACCTACCTCACTGGCACTTAGGTAGGCCCTGGGACGGTTCTCTGTATGTGCAAATCACCCTGAGCTTGGGCCATTTTTCCATTAGCAGGGGGAATTTAGGGCATGGAGCTCTAAGTGACTGGCTGCTGTTAATGCCAAACACCCAGCTCAGACATCAGCCCCAGATGCCAGACACCAGTACAGACATCATTTTTTGAGAGAGACAAATAAAAGCTACTTTGGAAGGTGAGGGGTTGGTGTATTTTTTTTTCCTGTCCCCCCCACCCCCCGTGGTTGTTGGGGAAGTAAGGAGAGGATGTCTATTTTCTGCATTTGCTTGTGAAAACCATCAGCTCCAAAACTCAAAAATGAACACCATTTTAACTGGGTTGTATAACTTTGAAAACAGATTATTTGAAAAGTTATATTCTGAAACACTAAATGCCATTCACATCCCATGTGTAATGGCCCCCTGAGGTCAGTCTCTGATACGATGGCTGTTTGGAGGGGAATTTCCCTGTTGATATTAGAAAAGAGATAAGGACTGGCTTTGAGATGTCACTGATTTGAAAATTCTACTAGTGCAGGCTAGCCCTTGCTCTGTAGCTTATGGTCGAGAGCAGTGATATCTAACTCAAAATAGAAACAGGAACCACTAAACCCTACCTACTTAAGGATCCTTGAAAGCTACATATTGACTTAGATTTCAATTTTAACATTATTTATATTTTATTGTATGTTTACTCATTTTGTTAAATATTTTCCAATTCCATATTAATGTGGTTAAGCCAAACCAGAGAGTGTTACTGGTCCATGTTGGATACCTCTGGGCCGCAGCAGTGAGAGCTTAAGACCTGTCCAGAGCCACATAGCCAGTATGTGTAACAGGCAGGACTTGAACCTGGGTCTTCCTGGCTTTGAGGCCAACTCTCTATTCATTACCTATACTACCTTTCAAAATTTAAAAAAAAAAGCTATCTAATTTCTAGTAACTGTTGTCAACAGACCCCCATATCACTCCTCTTCCTTCCTCAATGAGTTCACGGTTTCAATTTTTTTCTGTTTCCCAACTACTGTCATACTAGGGGCTTCGACATACATATTAACTCTCCCTCCAACACCCTAGCCACTCAGTTCCTTGAGTTATTCAGTTCTCATCTTCCTCCAACCTACCTCAGCCACACACAAAGATGGTCATATCTTTGATCTTTCTAACACCTACAAATGTACCACCTCCATGTTCAAGAATTCTGAAATCCCCTTATCCAACCACAATCTACTGGCTTTTCACTCTCCTTTTGCTTTCCCTTACAAAACCCTACTCTTCATCCACAGTGTGACCTGCAATCCCTTGAGCCTTCAATTCTCTCCCAGGCCACCTTCCCTGCACCAGCCAATCTCTCTTCTTTTCTCTATCTTGACCCCTTGGAGAACCAATTCAATTCTATACTGTCCTCTTCTCTTAAATCCCCAGCCCACTTATCATATCACTGATTATGCCCTGCCAAGCTTCAGCCTTGGATTATTCCCACCATTCTCTTCCTTTCCCCCTACACATGTGCTGCTGAATAAAGGTGGAGAAAATCACACGACCCTTCTGACTGGGACCATTACAAAGTTATGGTACACAACCTCAGATGGGCCCCCACTGATGCTAGGCAATCCTACTATACTTACCTTATCAACTCACTATCCCACTGTCCACAGTGGATCTTCCAAACCTTTTCATCTCTCTTCAAACCTGTAGCTCCCTTTCCCTTGGTCCGCCCATCTAAAAATCTTGCCTTATATTTTACCAACATAAAACAAAAGAGTTGAAGTCGTTTGCCATGAGCTCCCTCT